AGAATTTGCGGGCAGAGCATTAGTTGTAGCCAATGGTCACGTATGGTACATTCACAGACAGTAAAGAATCTTAAAAAACCTAGCAATAATTGAAACCTGCAATTATAGTGCAATAGATCGGGGGGAAAGAAAAGCCTTTCTAAAGTCTGTTCTGTACTTAATAATGCTATGTAGGAAAGTACGCTTCATGATCATGTTTTAAACATAATAATGCATTGTACGCATTGCATTTTTTGGAAGCTACTATCACAATTTTGTAATTATCTTGCATAGTTTGCAGCAGTCATTAATGTGGACCTAATACTGCAAAGATATTATCAATTCAGATATTTAGCATATTACCCCCAGAGCAATGTATGATAAACCTCCCTTTTAAAAGTAAAGTATCTAACTTGGCCTGCACAGATATAACGGAACAGTGTAAAATCTATCGCTGTTGCCACATACTAGAATTTGATATTCCAGTTCAACCTGAGACGGCATATTACCTAGCTCTCTCATAATATTATTTTGATGTTCTATAATCTAGTATTTAACAAATGTAACACCTTTATTTTTTATCCCTTGTGTTAAACAAGTTCATATCTCCATTACTGTGGATTATTCTTGGCATTGTTATTTCTAACCCAACCTTCTCATTTCAACATTTGTTTTCCTTGGATGCATATTTGTATATTTGGCACAGACTATTAAAAGCTGGGAAGTCTTATTCTGAATTACTTCATTGTATCCTTCCTTTAAATAGCTGTGGATTGTATGTATGGACTAATTCCATTTATTTATTATACGTGTTTAATATATTAAGCAAAGAAAACATTACTTCCTTGCTGATTAATATACCACTACACAGTAATGGGTTGCCAATTTTTTAAAAATCGATTCGTGTGTGCTTGCATGTATGAGAGCAACACATCTGGGCATGCCCAAAAGTGTCCAGGCAGGAGGGTGGAGCCTCCCGCCACCGCTACTCCCGGTTCACCCGATCCGGGCCAAAATCGGGAGCAGCCCATCTCTGCTACTACCTCAACTTTCCTCAAACAAAAACCATCATTTAGCCTATGTTCTGGAACACGGAAAATAACCCTGATTGATTCAGCGAAGACTTGCAACCACTTCTTTAAAAGAATTTTGTTTATTAAATACATACAAGTGAATGTCAATATCTATCATGTGATGACAGCCATGGCATATGTAACTTGGAATTTAAAGGAGGATAAATAATAGAGTATTAAACAAAGGAAATGTAAGAAAAATAGATATTGTTTATGATATAATAAATATGAATAAAGGTAGTCCAAATCTTGTGAAATTGAAGTGTACATGCTGAAAGTACAATTGAAAAAATTAAAATGGAGGATACCCTGATGTTTAGAAAAAAATAGGCTAACAAAAGACATGTTGAACATAATACTGACTGATGACATGAACTAAGCTTCAAACTCAAAGTTGTAGTTAGTCAGAACAATCCTAGAGAAAAAATGCTCATCAGGTCATGAGATGAAAGTAACTGAACAACACTTCTGGTTCACTGACTGGGTTAGTAAGTTCATGAGTTCACATAAAATGCTACCTTTGATTAACTGGCATATTAGCATGCCATTTTAGTATTTCCTTAGTCTCGTTTTTTTAAATATTTTTATAAATATTATAAATTCCATTTCTCTTAATAAATGCACTTGCTACTATTTTCTTCTTGCTTACTGATAAATTGTATTGGTAATTATTGTAGGATATAGTAATTATGAACCAGTTGGCTTCTATACAAAAAACCTGTTTGTTGCAGTCACAGGCTCTACCTACAAACAATGTAAGAAAAGACAGGAAAGACGTTATCATTTATATTATCAACATTTATTCACTGGAAACTGTTAGACTTTAGCAGAACTGCTTTTCATAAAAAAAATTAAAAACAAGATAAAATACAGGATCACAAAGAGACAATCTAATTTACAAATCACCATTTAAAATTTTATTAAAACAAGCACACCAACGCTTAATCAGTTAACCAGAAATGTTTCACACAATACTTTTATGAACTTCTAACCTATAACCCATTATTATTAGAAAGCAACATTTCAAAGGCTCATGTTTTAAAGCTCTATTATTTATTGTCTTTTTAGGACAGGATAGTATTTTGAAGATGCTACTGCAAATAAAAGTGCTGTTTGTAGAAAGTAATCCCAATGTGAACCAACTTATACATACACACACACACACAGACACAGACACACATATATCCACACACACCCATATATACATACATACACACACAC